CAAACCGTGCATCATTATGGGGTTAGTCACTATAAAGTAGAGAATTGTGACGTACTGCCTTTCTCTATTGTGTGAAAACTACCATTAGTAAGAGGATGGGTGGCCCAAAAATCTTCCCAAGATCGAACCATAAGTATGGTGCTTTTCACATTTGTCGAGTGAAAGCTACTAGATACAGTTTATGTTAAAGGATGAATATAATAATAGTATACTATATTAGACATTGACAGTAGGGTTCGAGCATCCCTCATGGATCACCTAAAGTCTACTTTTTGTAGACTGAATTTCCAGAGTCTTCTAACACACTGGTAAGAGGAAAAATTTCTAAGTTATGTTTCGTACAAAAAAAGTGCGTATTTATTGCAAAATTCTGTGGCAGAGATGACTCATTATTTGAAGTTTTTCGTTCAGTTGGGAGAAAGGATGGGTCGGGACGCACTTTTTCTCTCATCAAGATAAAAGAAGCACTTTTAGACGGTGTCGGGCGCAGTTTTTCCGGAAAAATGAAAGAAAACGCGTTGAACACTCGTCCGTATAATAAAATGTTCCAGTATGTGCAGCAGACAAGGCACTTCGTGCCAGCAGAAAAAGTGCGCCCTATCGAAACAGTACGGGAGTATAAAGCAGGACAGTGGTCGCACTGTCGTATCTGCGAAGAAAGGTGAAACTTAGAAAAAGTGACTTATTGAGATGAAAAATATCTCTTCAATTCAAATGCGTGAGATCAAAAACACATACATGTGTAGTAGATACTTTTATAAGATGATCAGGTTACGTTGGATGATCGAAATATTTTTGTACATAGAAAACTCGACATACTTCACCATCTGGCATGGTCGAAATGAATTTAGACGGAAAAAGGGTTTTGCACCTGGAGACCTAGTTTTCCAAAAAAAAGAGTCTCCAAAGATTCAGAAACATCGTCCATTATGCTATTGCTATTGTATTACTTGGGTTAGTTCATTTATAAAATTGAGTTTCTCAACGTAGAAAGGATCTGTAACGATAAATTTTGAAAAATTTAAAAGTCGGTCAGGATCGAGAAATGTTTTTTACTTAGTGTCAACGTGCTCTAAAAACTGGACAGACCAGAACTTGATTTTAAAAGAAAAGTACTTTTACTTCAGAATACCGTTTTCTAAAAATCAGATGCTCAAAGCCGTATGAGTCCTTGCCACTATGAGATTCGGAATCAGCATCATCAAAAGACTATTCGCAAATCATTCGATCATTCTGTGAACTAGTTTACAGAGAATGTGGATAAAACAAACACAGACAGCAGCGACTCATCAGCAAAATTTTGCAAGAAATGATCGTTGTAGTCTAAGTACCTTTCATTTACCTATAATCACATGACTTCCATGAAAAAAGTGATTGGAACCTCGAAGGACTCCTCTCGTTAGAAACGTGTAGAAATTTAGAAGTTTTCTGGAGATCCACTGAAGATCGTCTGAAAAATCTTGAAGCTTACAACATATATTTTCGTGTCTGAACAAGCCTCTTTAGTGCATAGATCTGAAGAAAAAGCAGTTCGGTATGATAAAACTGCATTTTGCAGTATAAAATATGTCCGCATATACTAGCACATATATCCCATATATTTCTGCACATGCCCCTCGAATGCGAAATGATCGACTACTCATAGATTTTCGACTTTAGATACTAGATATAGAAGGAACTGCACAATTTTCGATTGTAAATTTTCTTCTCTTTTTGTTTTACGCTTTTTTCAAAAACTATTTTTTTGCTATACTAAGCCTCATTGTTCTATATTATGAAGTTTAACTGTAGTGGAAAATCAGTCAATTAAAAATTAACCTAAAAATAGCATGATGGTCAGAAAAATTAATTTTATACAAAAATGACCAGTATAGTAAGCAAATGTTTTGTTAGTTCTGAATCTCCGCATCATTTAGAAAAAAACTTCCAGTTTGAGCTGAAGAATGTTGAGAAAAAAAAATAAAAGTTTTTCGTAAGTGGTTTTCCAGACGGCTAAGTTTAGTAAAATGAGAACCCCTTCACATCCCTGTTTGGACCAGAATCACTTTACCAGAATGTTCTCCTATATGGAGGTTATCACGACAGTTAGTACAAATTAGCACAAATATCCATGGGCTTAGATATTGGTTTTCCAAAAAACCCTTGGCTTTCCAGGTATTTTCAATTTATCTTGGCCCAGAAATGTTTTTATCCAATAAAAATGATATATTCAGAATCAGTGCAAGAAACTGCATCGAACGATATGCGATTAGTAGGTTTTTCTGAGCAAAAACTTCTTCAGAATTTTGATAGTTGCTATAGAAGCAGTCCGAAAGTTCAAACACTTTTTTTTATAGGTTTTCAGATATGCTCTTTCAGTGTGCTTTATAAAGTTCCAAAATACTTATCTATAGGTTTTCTACAGACCCGATTTTTGGAGAACCCAGATGAAAATCCTTTTGAACTTTGTAAAGCATACCAATGAAAAGAGCACATCTGAAACCCGTAAAAAAAGTGTTTATAGACTTTTGGACTGCTTCTACAGAAAATGCTGATCTATGGAAAAATGCACACTGCGCCCCCCCCCTTAAATTTCATCCGATCGGGCCAAAAACTTTTTCAAAAGATAGTCATAATGTGCCACAAGAAAAAAGCGAGTTCTCTGCAATACTCACGAATGTGAATAGCTGAAGACTTGAAATAAAAACGAAAAAGTGCTTCATTGAGTTTCTAATCAGTTCTGTAAATATAAAACTTAAAACAAGAGACATATTTGCTGTTCAATTAGTGTGCGGTATGTCAATGTCTACCCTTCTTATAAATATTAAGATCCTGTTCATAGATGTTTTTTCTCATAAGACAATACCTAGGACTTGAGAAATTCAATTAAATAGAAATCAGTTAGTTCCTTCTAGATCAGACGTCTTATTTTTGCTAAAAAAGATATCTGTCATTTTAGGATAAGTAGGTACTATCTGTTTTATGAGAAAAATAAAAATTTCATTTTTGACTTTTAATAAAAAATAAAAAGCTCATAACTAAACAAATCATTCACATGTAATACTATCTACTGTATTAGATAAGAAAATGACATTGTAAATCAAATAAAGTACGTGACCAATCGATTATAATAAAGTTTAAAATAATTTGATTGTAATCGTTGTTTGTATTCATGCGCTTAAACATTAACAATGTTAATCAGTGATGATTAATAGAATATTTGATTTCATTTTACTTTTAATATTGGATATCAATTTTTTTGATCACCAAATTGTTCAACATGATACATATTCATTGAATTATTGACCAAATGAACAATATTTTCGCAGTTTTATTTATATCTATTTACAAATTTAAAGTTGTGCTAACTTTCTTGGGAGGCCCTTTTGCTTTTCGTTTGCCTAATGGCTGAATACATGTTTTATTGCTAACTTGATACCAGTTAAATAAAATTGCTAATCCAACAGATTGTTTACACGAATATACTTTCATACCAATCGGACAGCTACATGATTCTAATGGTACAATAAGCCAACAGGATTGTTGCCACACCAGAAAATCATTGAATGTAAGCCACTGACGAGAACGATAAATATCTAGCCAATGATACATTCAATGGTTTTGTGGTGTATTCAGCCATTAGGCAAACGAAAAGCAAAAGGGCCTCCCAAGAAAGTTAGCACAACTTTAAATTGTAAATAGGTATAACTAAAACTGTGAAAATATTGTTCATTTGGTTAATATTTCAGTGAATATGTTTACTTTTTACATTATATCGTGTTTAGAAATAAAAATGTGAGATCATGCTGGAAAATTTGGTGATCAAAAGTATGTGTTTTTGGTGATCATTTGTATCTAAAAATGTTTGGTAATCAAAAATTTCTTTTTTTGGTGATTGAAAGTACATCTACTCTTTAATATTGCATTTTATGAATCTATTCTTTCCGCTTTATAAACGTTCATTATATTATTAATGATGAGGTCTACTTCCTTTCTTCTCTGTCATATAAAAGAAGTAAATAACATCTTTACAAGAAAAAATTACAGACATTGACGATCTTAAAAAATAAGAAAGTATAGAAGAAATTGTTTCACTATTTCGTTTTTTATTGTAAAATGGTATGAAACTTAATAATTAACAACTACATTCAGTCTAAAAAACAAGATTATATTTTTTTCACAGAATACTAGAAAAAAGTGATAAATAAATTATGATCTACAAAATTAAATAGTATTCAAAAAAACAATAATCTAAACAATCATTTATATATTAGATTTCATTATATTATATATGTGCGCGCGTGTGTGTGTGTGTGATAGGTGCAAGTTAATCAGCGTATTGATCAAATAAAATGTTGGCGTGATTTATTCTACTTATGAATATCATATGAATATAAATTCATTCCCTCGCATTCATCGTGTCGATCTCTTTCTTGTAAATATATCTCCATTAACCTTGCATGTTTAAATTTGAACTTTATTATATAATATAATTTTTTTTCTACTTGTTTTATTTTCTACACTTATTTCTAATAAATTAATTAATATGACAGTGAAAATAGGTTTGTTAATTTATATATAGAATGTCGAATTCAACAGATGTACCATCATTATTATTTTTTGTCATTATTAATTCATTAATGCTAATATTGATTGTTATTGGTGTAATATTTGGTCTAATTGTTATTATTCTTATTTCTACTCACAAAAATAATCATACAGTACCAAATAGTCTCTCATGTAATTCATGTTCAGGTGGTCTATTTTATTTTTGTGTTTATACTGTTTTTATTATTTATGAATATTTACCAGAAAAATATCGAACAAATCCTCTATTATGTCAGTTACAAGGTTACATGTACAGTGTATCGTGTTGTGCCGTAACCTATTCATATCTTGTTCAAGCAACAAATCGTTTATTCTACGCTCTATTTTATAAATATCGATTTCTTTTATCATCAAAATCTGCTTGTATACTAATTGTTATCCATTGGTCATTGAGTTTTATTCTCCCATTTCCTATTATATTTTTAAATGGTTATCAATATCAAATAGAAAGTCAGATATGTATTTTAACAACAAAACAATTTCCAACAGCTATGTACGGTGTAGCAGCATTCTTTTTTGTACCTCTAAGTTCAGTAATTGGTATTTATACTATTATATTACATAATGCTTGTCAAAGAACAAAAAGATATGCTTCTAGAGCGATAAGGAAACGTCATCATGCCACTGTTTATTCGCGACGTTCTAGTCGCGATTTAAAAGTTATTCGACATACTGTAATTCTCATAGGAATTTTAACAGTGGGAGGCACTCCTTATTGTATTCTTATTATTCTTGACGTACTTAATGCCGCTTCTCCAGAATGGTATTTACTAGTGACACTATTTATTACATTTAGTGTAATGGCAGACATGATCGTCATTTTTGCGTATAACAAAAGTTGTATTAATATAATTTACAAACCATTCAAATATGAACCATCACTAAATAGTCTATCGCAGGAACAACTAAAAGAAAAACCGAATTCATTAATATCATCCGCATATTGTTAAACCTGTGACAACGCTGTTCTATAAAAATAATTTTATGACGTTGATATTTGGTAAAGAGTTTCGTCGGTTTTAAAAATACCGTTTAGTTACCATGAAATCAATAGATAATGGTAGAGTTTTCGAAGGCGTATACACATAGAAAGCGAGAATTTTTGTGTGCAGTCCTCTAAAAGTGATTTCTCTAAAAAAATTTAATAAGTGGACTATCGAAGTCGAAGAATCGTACTAAGATCGTACAGGATTGCGCAAGCTCGTACGAGACGTAAAAAGTGTTATAATCGTTTGGTAAAAATCGTACGGGTTCGTGTCAAACGATTTCATATGATTTGAGTGGAAATCGTACACTTAAGATTATTTCTCTACTTTTGCCCCGATTCATACTTTGAATGCTTGAAAAAGCTTAGATACTTGTTGATATGTATTTTTCAGTGTCTAATATTAGAAAATGCCTTGAGGCTGCAAAATCTCCAGATTGATTTAAAAGTTCACTGAGCCCAATTTTACGCTTATTATTCATGAAAAAACAGAAGCTATGGGAGAAAGAACAATTTACATTCCTTTCTGGTACTAGGCGAACATAGCAGACATTAGAATTCCGAACTTCCTCTTCTCTTATTCTACCTTACTTTATTTACTATATTCATGTATATACACCACCTTAACTTACCAAAAGCCAAGAATACAAAGCCAAGTTTTACATTTTCCAGTTCTTTTGACTTCTCACAGAAAGAGACTTTTCCCCACTATAATTAAAAGATTGAGAGAATACGCACACGGAAAGAAGCCTGCAGACTAGCTAGATAAAAACAGTAAGAATCATGTGTTATCTGTACGTAAAGTTGTATATGATCGTACGCAATCATACATACCATCTTCTGGAATCATAGCACTTCGTACGTATGATCTTGTAAGATCAGATAAGATCGTATATGTGGTTGTTGTACCAAATCTATGATCCGAACCCTGGGACTTTTCAGCGATCGCGATTCGTGGGTCGATCGTACCATTTCATATGTATGCAGTAATACGATTACTCAAGATCATATCTGCCCATGCACAATCACACAGTATGATCAGGTCTGATCGTATTTGACCTTGTACGATTCGCTCGTACGACCTGGTACCTCAGTGAGGAAAACCCTTTTTTTTCTCAATGTTTATGCTTCCGCATTCGCAGTCCATCTCAACTTTTTTATACCGTACAAGAGAGAGAATTGAATTCTGCACAAAATGAGACTAAAATAAAGTTTAAGTCTTTGATCGTTTTTTGCGTAGAATGGTTTTACTCACGCAGTATCAAAACTACTTTGTCAAAAGTGCACCTTAATTATTAAACGGTTTCGTACTTAATTTACTATTTACATAGTGATGTGTAAATATGGATGAGTGTGCATAGGAAAAAAATTCAACTTTAAAACTGTGCACAAAGCATGAAAAAACTATCTCAACACACTGAGTTTTTCAATTTTAGTCATGGAGATACATCCAACTTATTACGAAGGAGACATTCGAAAATATCACATTTGAAATAACAATCGAGCTTATTGCAGTCCAGTATTTGTAGCACACGATTTGCTGCTCAAACGAACCAAGACTCTGTCTATGCTACAAGCATTATAGTATAGACGCAGTGTTTTAGAGAACGCTAAGAATTTGATCCAAACAACTATTTAATTGAAAACATTTTGTTCTCACTGTAAAAGAAAAATATTTATATCTCCGTCAAGAAATAGCTCTGGTAGCCGGAAAAGATTCTGTTTGTAAAGAATATTTTAGTGTATATTCCAGCATATAATTGCAATATTAACATTTTTACAAGAAAACAAGGGAGTATAATGTTCCTTAAAAAATGTTGATTTGATGGTTCAATGGAATCTACATTAAAATAGTAGATACGACTAGAAATACGACTAAAATTAAATATATATATATATATTTTAAATATTACGATTGCTAACGCCACACGCTTTTTTCTTGTAATATATTTGTACCACATGTTCAAAATTATGTCTGATCCCATACAACTTTTTTTGATTAAAAGGAGATTTTTTCAGTGAAGGTTATGGCATTGTCTAACTAAAAACAACTGTTTGTTCATTTTACAATTTTCGTAGAGATGGTCATATATGATGAAGAAAAAGAGTCATGATCCACTGACCATATAATTAATCGTACTGAAAGATCTGTACTAAGTTTTCAGTATTTAGGCTAAAAAATTACGAAAGTATATAGGATCGCATCAACGAATCTGTCTATGATATCACAGTATTTCAGGACTGAGACAATCATGATATACGAATGGCATTTGCCTTCGAATCGATATAGTCTGGCATCCCATAAAATGGTTCAACAAAAAATCTTTATTGACGACAAGGATTTTATTATTGGATGAACGTTTTCTAACAAGACGAACTGTTTTACAATCTTATTTTGGTAGTCGATATAATCGGGGAACTAGTCAAAAGTTACCATCGAAGCTATGTAACAGGAGAACATGGTGAAAGAGATAATAGTAGTTCTAATGATCAACTATAGTTTTAGTGGTACAAATTTAGTTTGTTTTACTTTTCAAATTATCACGTTATAGGTAATATTAGAATTGTTTCTAATTTTGTTTATACTTCTGCGATATATTTGTAATTGTTTTTTTTTAACTTAAAGCAGTAGATGAATGTAATTTATTGAAATACTTCCAACTAATTTGCAGATATATGAGTGCGATCTTTTTTCAATTCATCTTAGCAACATTGAACGCGCTTATCATAACTCTTTAGTTGTTCAAGTCTAAATATTTTGTGCTTATCTTTTTTGTCTGGAAATGGCTTCTGATGATGAATTTAAAATTGATGAGATCACTTTTATTGTTAAAGATGTTGTTCGTCGTAGAATTGGTGATCGAGAATTTGCTCAAGAAAAAGTAAAAAACTGGAATTCGGATATTTTAACAGGCATAATTAAAGAATTACAAAAACAAAATAAACAATTAAAATATGTTGTCACAATATTGATAGCAGAAAAAACAGGAGCTGGTTTACATACGGCAATGTCAACATTGTGGGATGGACAGAGTGATGGATGTGCAACGATTCGATGGGAAAATAAATCCATGTTTTCTGTCATAACTGTTTTCGGTTTAGCTATGTGAAAGGCGTAAATGAAATTATGTTTAAAGTGCAAACAAATTAGGTGTCGTTCAGTTTATAAAATTAGAGACAAACGAAAAAGAGTTTGAAAAAACAAGTTGAATGATGAGAAATTATATTGGAGGGAGGTTCTTTATTACCTATCAAGAAAAAATTTGATCAGTCAGCCCCACTAGTGAGTGTACTTGGGTCTAAGTACTTCACTTACGTAATGAAGACGGAATCGGACTTTTTTCCATTAGTCAATTTACCTGTGAGTACTTGCCTCACTTAATAAGTACTTGCAGAACCTACTTCGTAGCAATAGAACCATACTACTTGGATCAAGTGCACTCTTACTAGGTGAGCGCTCTCGAATAAAATCTGAAAAACTAAATTTAGTAATAATTGATAACCGTAGAATTTTCGTAGTGTGTCTACTATATTATATTATGTTTTCCGGAGCAAAATAACGGGGAGGACAACAGAGACTTGGGTTCAGTAATTTCACTTTGATTATGGATTGCTTTGCGTATAGTATAAGCGAGGCAGCTTTGCTCCTCTATGTTACGCGGCTTCAGCCATGCTATACTACGTTTACATGTTGAAGGTGGCGCTTTGATACTAAAGTAGACGACGGTCTCGGTCTCTCGAACGATCTGAGGTAAACAATGCATACGAATAATTCAGCCAGTACAATATTTGTGTTCTTTTGCTGACGACCTTTAAATAATGTTCGAGAAAACAGGTAGCTCTTTTGGATTAGTCTCAAATACAAACCAATGAATGATAGTTTTACTTATCGATAAGTGTATGAGTTATTATATTTACCTTCTTTTCTCAACACATTACTCGATGTTTTACTTGAAAATGTCGGTTCACCACGTCAGGAGCAACCGTTTATGATTAATCATTACAAAGACGAAAAAAAATCGAAAAACGATATCGACTATGGAGTTTTTTTCTTAACTTTTGCTCTTGACGTGTCTCAACCGAAAATAACTTTCTTTCGCTTTGAACTACAAATTAACCGATATAAAGTGTGTTCTTTCATGTTGCATGTTTTCGTGTTTCGGATCGTGCTATTAAAATTATGTGAGCAAATTTGAAAGTTATGTCCCTATATTTTTGCAGCCAAGCCATAATTCATGTTTTGTATTTTGAGAAGTGCATTTCTAGCAGATCAAAGTTGACAGACCTCCTGTGTCTTTCTTATTAACACATTCACTACCACAAATGCTGAAATATATGACGTGAATACGTCATACGACGTATAGGGCAGTGAATGTGTTGAATATACCTATACTCATTAAACGAAAGATAGGATCATTGAGAACGATAAAAAGAGAGTTTTTTAATAGTGGGTTTTGATTTGTGACCAAATCACTATTTTGACGATTTGTTATTTTTAACGTAGTGAATGTATTTAGAACGTAAGGATATTATGTATCTAGCCTCTGTTTTTCTGGTTAGTGTTTACAAATTTACTGACTTGTTTTTTGTCATAATTTAGTTTATTTATCTTGAGAGAATTTATTATAAGCAAGAAATGATACATTCTTGCGTTCATCGGACAGCACTAATCAGCAATTGTGACATGAAGTAATAATGATTTTTTGGAGGCATTCAGACAGACATTCTTTCAGTGAGAGAAGAGAAAAACACATTTGAAATGTCAGGATATGTGCATCTCTTATTTGTCCATTAGCAGGATTTCATTGTGGATTAAACCAGAAAATGTAGAAAATCGTTTCTTCCCATTTTATTTTTGGTAATTATGCAGTAGACACTATTGTTTATCGTGAATAAACAAAAAAGCCAATGTTAGATATAACTTTTGACCATCAATTTTTAGTTTATTTTCTCCATTGGTATGTGTCTGCGTATATTTATTTACTATAGCACACTTTTCTTTTCTTCTTCTATTTCTTTAAATGGCTTATGCATACAGATATAGGAGACAAATTGATCGATTGTATTTTTTAGTCAATTGAGCACAACATTGAATATATTAAGATACAGAAACACTGTATAAATTAGAACATCAAACTCTGTTTTGTTGTTCTGAATTAAATTACATTCATCAGTGAACAAGCATATATAAACTATGTATAGACCGATGGTGCCAATTGGCTTTCTTTTTCATTACGTGCCCCATTAGCCCCTGTCAACATTTTTCAGAATATGGGATAAGAACACTATCGATTAATGCTCATGAAAAGTTTATCTTTAAAGAATGATTGTGCTTATACAAAAAAAAAACGAAGTGAACATGAAAATTTTATAAATGACACTTTTTTCTCTTTCTCACGTTATCATATCGACCTCATTAGAAGAAAATCTTGTTATATATAGATATAGGGTCCCACATATAGTATGTGTGGTGCTCATTCTCTCGTGTGTTCTGAATAATATAGGTAAAACAACTCAATGTACTACTTTCATTCCATATACCCCCACAAATTAATAGTTGAAATCTTTTGACTCTCTTTTTTTTCTTCTTCTTCGTTTCATTTGTACTTATATGTGAGTCGAGAGAGATATTTCGTTGTTTCGTTTCTCTTTTCTTTTTTTGTTTCTTCTGTCTCACAATTGACTTTATTCGCGTCTTATCTATCCATTTCATTCATTCATGCATATTTAAATTGTTGTTGATGTGAGAGTGTGTGTGCTCAGGTTTTTTTCTCTTTTTTTCAAAAAAATAATTCATAATTTTACTATTCAATGTCAAGTGAGAAGAGATGTTCAAAATTTATTAGCAGTATTCGTCTATCATTATGAGGATTAACATGAAAAGTTTCTAAAACTCATAATTATTTAATCAACTTTATTTTTTCGTGTTTAGTACGATTAATAATAAGATTTGATAGATAGATCACACATTTATTCAAAATATTTCAACGATTTTGACATTCCTTTTATGTATATATGTGTGTGTCATTTTTTGTTTCTTATCTTAAGTATATTTAATAATGGATGATAGTTATTTATTGCTATTTTTTTCATAAACAATTTTTATTAATCTTTTTTATAGACCAAAGAACTTGGTAAGCATTTTGAGATTTTAAGTGCAATCATCATATATTAAACAATATATTCTATATCGAAATCAATCAATTGTTTATGTTTCTTGATTATCAAACTCTATGATAAGCATTTGATCCATCAAAGTATCATTAAATCTAGTAGTCGTAAAAAAAAAGCAGAATTCATGAGCTTTCACGTATCTATTTGTATTATGCATGAAAGATTCTTAAACTGTTAGGTATTTTAGTCAATATTTGTCTTAGATATTATAATTTCTGAAATTAGAGAGATAGAAAGTTTTTTCACAATAGAAAAGAGAGTGTGAACTGTCTTCAAGATGAAACATCATTTCATCTATACTTAACATAAATCCTTTTTTTGTTTCTTTAAAAATTTATATATTTACTTTAAAATTTAAAAGAGAAAATCTGTTGTTAAGCGATATAATATTTATTAGTAGTGTGCAATTTATATATTATCTAGAGACCTTTAAGACATATGTTTTACCAGTAGCAGCACTGTTCTTTTTTTTTTCTTCTCCTTCTGAAACAATAGAACGAAATGTCTCATGAAACTTCATTGTCTTTTTTCTTTTTATACTAGACAATTATATACGGAATAGGTATATCTAAATGAAATATAGAAGTAGTATTAGAAATAGATAATAGAACTAAGAGAGATTTTTTAGTAAAGTATGCTTAAATAATGTTAAATATAAACTAATATAATTGCACTTCGTTGTAACTGATGGAAAAAAAACAAGTTAAAAATATATTGTACGAATAGAAGATGAGATAGAAAGACTCTTAAAATATAGAAGAGTTAGAAAAAAAAATTGAGAATAAAAATAAATTATATTCGGAGATATTTTTAATGCAAAACTCCTTTTATATGAAAATTGAACTCGGTTAGTAGACTATAAGAGTGTGAAATTTTATAATGTTTTATGTCTTCTTATTCATTTATTTGATCAAAATAAGTCAAATTTGAAAAGCTGATTTAAAATTGGCATGAATAACAACAGTCTATACTGTTGAACAAACATCGAAGAGGATAAAAAATATAATCAACTGTTACTTGTATGTGAGTTAAACAATGAATTTCTCTCATTAATAGTAAATTCAATATTCACATTTAAATAGTTTCTCATACTATTAATTTTGAATATCTTTGAGCTTCCCATTTTCTTCTTCTTCTTCTTCTTTGATTGAACGAAAGTTGTACTGTCACTTTTCTCTCTATTACTCACCTTCAAGCTCATATTATTTTTTTTCCCCAAAACTAGTCATAATGAGAAAATAATATCGTTTTTTTCTTTGTTTTTTTTTTTTTCTCATTCAGATTTGAAAAACTAACAGTCGAATTAGAACGTATTTCATTCAATTTGTATATAATCACATTTGGGAAATATTGTTACGATATTCTTCTTTTTCATTCTTCTATTGATTAATTTTTTCTTCTTTTTCTCATTGTTCATAGAATGAAGATAAGATCAATTTGTTACAATTAGGGAATTATGTTTAAACAAATTTTTCATATATGATCAAACGATCATGACATGTAACCTGATGAACAGTATCCTTTTATGTTTTAGACAACAATGAAAAAAAAAAAAACACATTTTGTTCCATTTTTCAAAAATGTATCTTAACTATTATATAGTTGAGGTCAAGATGACGCGCGCGCACACACACACACCTACACACGTTTGTAGACTTGTACAGAGAGAAAGAGATATTCATCTATTTCTTCTATATATAGTATAATCACATCAATTTCTCTCCTGTTTCTCTCCCTGTACAATATACAGCACCACATTTTTTTTTCTTCTTCTTCTTCAAAAAAAAAAACGTATATTGTATACTTGTTATCGATTTGATTTCTTTTGTTCAAATAATTTCTTCATAGGTGAAACTCTTTATATCATATTTTTTTAAGTGAATGGAGTTCAATAACAGAAAAAAAGAGAGACGATTGTTGACTGTCTGCATTATATATATATATATATATGTTATACGCATGAAATCTGTCTCAAATACTTTTTCAAATTGTTTGTGTAATAAACTTGAAAATCATTATATATTTGAGAGGAAAGCACGGTTGGATACCAGACTAGAAATATGTATCATTCATGATTAAGAGAAGTGACAAGAAAAATTTTAACTTCTATGAAAATAAAAAAACAAAAAAATGACCTTTTTGAAATAATTTAAATTCTATTCATTGAGTTTTTTTAAACTTTATATTGAAGTTCGAGTATCACAGTGTTGTAAATCAACTTACTATTGAACGATCTTGTAGAGATAATAATCGAGTGAAATTTTTTCGTTCTAAAATACTTTTTATTCATTAAAAAGATGGTTATTAAATCATACAACTGTTTTCAATGGATTGTGTAGTAAACCATAACTTTTTGAAAATCTTTTTGAAATTAAAAAGTGTGTTGAGAAAAAAGAAAAAGAAAAATGTTTTTCATTTCTCTTTTTTTTTTGTTCGATACACATTCATTCATTTATTCATTCAATAGGAGAATGGAAGATGATGAATAAGAAATAAAATCAATACCTAAACAAAAAATTTGTATAGATTCTATTTTATACATTTAATGAGTTGCAATTTCTTTTACGAGGTAATTTGATATTTTAAATTAGTTTTTTGTTCTACAATGATTTTCTTCTTTTTTTTTTAATTTGAAATGATCATATTTCAATAAATTATGTCACACAAATATTGTATCTGGAAAAACAATTGAGCAGATGTATTAGTTAGCTTATTGCTATAGATATCGATATTTTGTTTGCTTTAACAAAAAAACAAAAAAAATTTATCATGTTTGATTTGTAAATAAACGCACAGTTGTCGATAAGATCACATTTACCTAGAGACAAAAAAAAATAAAAAAAAAAACAACAAAAAAAAAAGAAGAAATGACTCTAATAAAATGTTCAGATATGAAGTTAAGACAAAATTTTGTCATTTAGTTTTTATAAAGTTCTTTTCCGATGAAATAAAATTTCATGATAGACATCAGTCAGAATACTTGTAGTCTAATAATCATTCTTAAAGATCTTGTATAACACTTGAAATTTTTTTTTCTTTCTTTTGTAAGCTACTGTGCACTATTCAGAAATGATAAATAACAACATAAGAAAAAAAATTTAAATCGAATTGAAAAGAATTTTATTTTTACATTTCATTTTTCATCTATTCTTATAAATTTTATTTTATTTCATTTTATTTTTGTCTTTCTCTCATTCTTTCGCTGGTCTTTAACCATCAATAAAAAGATATCGTTCGTATTTTAGTACATCGAACAGTATACATGCACACACACACAGCAACACAACAACTAGTAGACCGCAAAAGAAAAATGAATGCTTGTTTTCTAAAGCTTACGAACTACATACGTTATATTCTTCCTTTTCTTTATGATTATTTACTTAAAGCTTTTTGAAAAAAACAAGAACAAAATCTATACATCGTCTTTCTCTTTCTTACTCTCTGTTTTGTTTTTTTTCACTCTATACTTCATGTCATGTCAAAAATAAAAGTCGGTGTAATCGTCCACACGTGTCTTGTTAAATTAAATGTTCCCCATTTGTATTTGTGTGTGTATGTGTGTGTGTGTGTATTAAGTAATAAATGATGATAAGTTTAAGAAATGTATACGTGTTGAACATGAAAGTATTGCAGATATTGAATTTCCTTTTAACGTGTCAATTTAAGAAAAAAAACGCTTTTATTATGTAATTTTATTTTTTGTTTTTCGTTTTCTTTTGTCATTATTTTTTGTTTTTATTCTTGTTCTCACTATCATCGCTAATTTTTTATTATTTATTATTTATTTAACATTTAACGAGAAGATTGTATTTTTTTTTTTCTAATAATAATAGAAAGTATGTAAGAGCCAATTGAAAGAGTCGACATTTATCAGTGCAAAACATTTTCATTTTCATATACAAGTATGTTAGTAGTTTTTTTCATTTTGATAGAGTTTTACATATTTAACAAGGTGTTTTTTTCTTTTCCAATTTCAAATCAAGTCTAAGTTTAGTTTTGTGTCGTCAAAATAATTTAAAAATAGTTTGTATCCGGTGTGTAGCTTCTATTTATCATAAAACTTGACAAAGAATTTCTTACCTAGCTACTACTGATTTTGGCATTAATTTAAAGAATTGAAAAATGTAAGTTTTTTTCTTTTTTGTCTGTTACTTTTCATTACACTAGATATTCTATTTTATTGAATGGTATATTTAAGATGCGCTAAAAATAAATGAGTATTAAATTTCTTCTTCGAACTCGTTATCAATAAGAAAAATTTTTTTCTTTTTTCCTACTCCTTAGTTTCATTAAATGTTTGAATTTTTGTGAAGGAGTGAATTCTTGTCCGATGAAAAAGAATTATTGTTTTTTTTTTTTTTTTTACGATGAGGAAAGGATGATTGTATCGAGTTATGATACATATGTATGTATTTATATATATATGTGTATACATTCATGTACATCTTTTTTTTTAACGGAACAAACAGATATATTCTTGTGATGGGCGGTCCAAGTAAATAGAGCTACTGTTTTACACACCGGTATAACATCAATCATATGAATCATGTTTTCCATTTATGATTACAATGTGGATTGCTAATACAAGCACATTTTTTTTCTTCTTATTTCTTTCGTTCTTATTCACAAAACTTTTTTTTCTTTTCTATTTGTGTTCTGTATATATATATATATGTTCATAAATATATAAACATTTCACAAATAGAAATATTTTATGATCACCAAATTATCTTTAAATAAATTTATTATGTTTTTGAGAGGTCAATATTCTACATTTTCTTCATTGCTATTTGATAGTAAATCTATTAAATCATCATATTTAAATTTTTCTATTATGGCATGTTTTGTATTTTTTTTTCTCTCTCGACCGCATGACACCTTATGCCTGATTCTCGAACAATCAAAAAAAAAAAAAATTTTTTTTTTGCACAGTCTATTGTCATTAAGTTATTTTTTCTTATCAAAACATTGTATTTTGTTTTCATTTGTTATTTCTACAAATCTTGTTTTTATACCAGTACGTTTGAAAATAGTTAGTTTAGAAGTCATAGAAAACATGTGTCCTATCCTTATAATTTATGAAAAGTATTTCATTGTATTATTTAATCTAATGATAGTTTAGTTTTAGCATCGTTGATATGCATAAATATGTGTGAGGATTTTTTGTTTATCTTCTACTTATCAAACTATTTTTAATGAGAAAATCAGTTTGTTAAACTTATGTTAAAATCAATCAATTTTAATCACTACATCATGAATGTTTCTTCTATCGTAGGATTCAACAATGATAATATTTAACTTTTATTCATATTTTGTCTTGTTATTTTATTTTTAGATAATATTAGTTTAGCCGTACATATATCAACTCTTAATATCCTTATGAATATTTTTATTTATTTTAACGTATACGTCCATGTAAAACATTAGCAACCATAAAGAAACATTTGTCAATAAAAACAAGAATATTCCATAGAATAGATTAATAAAACCTACAGCTAGTAGAAACAGAAGAACAATTCTCTACAATATCAAAAAATGCCACCCAAAACGGTAAGTTTATTTTCTCCTTACAGATAGTATGTCAATTTAAGTCAAAGTTTTGTTATTTCATTATATTCTATTATGTTTTATGTATTATTTTCACTTAATCATGATCCTTGTAACTGTTCCTTGTTTCTGTATTGGTGTACGAAATCTGAGCCAAAATTATATGACGACTATTGATCATTGTTGTTAGATGTTAAAGAATAAGGAGAAGTTAGTACGTGTCGAGATAGAGGAGATTGTTTATTTTTGAAATTATGTCAGTGATTATAATGATCACTTGTGTAGGTGTATTGTGTAGTGGTGTTTGATAACAGGAATTTGATGATGAGTTATTGTTGTAAAACTGCACTTTGTTTAGAAGTACAAATGTGTACTTATCTCATTTGTTTAATTCAGTTCTCTGTTTCAAAACAGTTCGGTGATGGTTCAAATGGTAGTCTTAATTGAGATAAGGATTGATTAGTTACATTATTTGTATTTTTACTGAGCTTTGTTACTTTCATTCATCTCAAAATCACCATTTTATGTTTAAGAGAGAAATTCTGTGTACTTGATTGTCTTCGTGATACTAAATATCTAGTATAATTCCATTTGGTCGTACATTTTCCTTATATAGATATTAATTTCTCCTATACGTGATGGTAAATCACCCAGATCAAAACAATCAATTAATAGTCCAATAGATTGTACTTAAAATCAGTTGATACCGTTTTACAGCTAGCTATACACTTGAAAACTAATTTTGTAGATAATAGTCTATTTTAAATATATCATCCTTCATTTTGAGATGGTGAATGAATATGTGTGTACGATTTAGGTGTTTGCGTTCTTTGGTAGACCAAAAATCGCAACATCATGCAAATGAACTGATAACTTATTGATAAGACGTAGTTTTGATTTAGAAATGAGAGAAGATGAATAGTACGAGATGCTTCAGAACATAAATTAAAAAATGAATGGTTTCATTCTCAGGTGAATCATCCAGCAAAGATGTTTTTCTTTGATTAATCAACATTGGATTGAGGGATAATGTTTGATAACAAGAAAAAGAGTTCATCTATATATAAATACATAGCATAGTTAACTTCAATTATTTGTTTATCCAAATTAAAATTTTTCTCATTCATTTAACTACGCTTTTTTCTCTTCTATTTAGGTTAACGTTCGGGTGTTAACTATGGATGCTGAATTGGAGTTTGCCATTCAGCCAAATACTACTGGAAAACAATTATTTGATCAAGTAAGTCAAAAATTAAAATGACAGAAATAACTCGCAGATTGTTATTTCCAGATGTTCTCTTATAGAAATTTGGAGAGTTTTATCTGCTATAATAAATCTTTCATAAATTCATTATTATTTATCTTATATAATTTGTGAATTTACATACGATTGAAACACAAAACATATTTTTTCTTTTAATCATTTTGACATGTCTATTTATTTTGTTTATTTAGGTTGTTAAAACCATTGCACTTCGGGAAATATGGTTTTTTGGATTACAATTTACTGATAGCAAAGATTTTCCCGTATGGTTAAAATTAAATAAAAAGGTTATTTTAAAGAAAAATAATTAAAAATAAATCATCACATAGATTTCTTCGATTTTTAGGTTTTAAGTCAAGATGTAAAAAAACAACAACAACCATTACAATTTCGATTTCGTGCGCGATTTTTTCCAGAAGAAGTATCTGAAGAACTGATTCAAGACGTAACACAAGTATATAAAATCAATTTAAATTTTGTCTTATTATTTAATTTTTATGAAATTTTTATTTTCTTCTTTTTATTTTTAGAAATTATTTTTTTTACAAGTTCGAGATTCAATATTAATGGATGAAATTTATTGTCCACCAGAAACATGTGTATTATTAGCATCGTATGCAATGCAAGCAAAAAATGGTGATTATAGTGAAGAATCACATAAACCAGGATCCCTTGTTCACGAACGATTGTTACCAAAACGGTTTGTAGTCAATAATTAGTCAAAAAAAATATGATTCTAATTTATTTTATTTTTAGTGTAATGGAACAATTTCAATTGTCACCTGATGAATGGGAAAAACGTGTTATTAATTGGTGGAAAGAACATCGTGGAATGTTAAAGTATGTCTTGTTAAAAGATTAATTGTGTCTATTTTTTATATTTATTTATTTATTTTACTTTAGAGAAGAAGCCATGTTAGAATATTTAAAAATTGCCCAAGATCTTGAAATGTATGGTGTAAATTATTTTGATATTAGAAATAAAAAAGGAACAGAATTATATCTTGGTGTTGATGCACTTGGATTAAATATTTATGACAGATCCGATAAGTAAGTTTGAACAATATCTTTGAGATAAATACAAAAAAAAAAATAATACGTTGTTTGGCTGAAAAAATATCAAAATTATGCTATTTATTGCTTAGATGTCTTTTGTAGTCTATTAATTGTATTGTTTATTTTTGCTAAATTAGACTAACGCCAAAAATTGGTTTTCCATGGAGTGAAATACGAAATATTTCGTTTAATGATAAAAAATTTGTTATTAAACCAATGGAAAAGAAGGCACCGGTAAGTTCTGTTTTAAAATTGTCAATATTTCTACTACTATTTAACATTTTTTCTAACGTATTTCTTTTGTAGGATTTTATATTTTATGCTCCTCGTTTGAGAATCAATCGTCGTATATTATCGTTATGTATGGGTAATCATGAATTATATATGAGAAGACGTAAACCAGATTCAATTGAAGTTCAACAAATGAAAGCACAAGCAAAAGAAGAAAAACAAGCGAGAATAACGGAAAAGTAAAATGAATATCAATTTTGTTTTCTTCTTAACAGTATTTTTATATTATTTTTGTTAGAGAACGTATTCAAAATGAAATTGAACGTCGTAAAAATGCCGAACGTGAAAAAGAAATGTTAAAACAAAAATTAAAAAGTTTAGAAGAACAAGCAGAACATGCTAAACGAGGTAAAATAAAAATGACTAGATGATTTTTCACAAAAAATGTGAAAACAAAAATTTCAGACGAAAAAGCCAATGGTTCTGCCTATTCTGACGTTGATGAGGACAGTGACGACGAGCGAGCATGTATGTGTGTTTTTAAAGAAGATGACTAGAAATGGAACAAAAAAGAAAAATTCTTCTGCTAAACTAGACTTATGATTCTATGATTGCTTATTTGATGAATAGTGTGTGTTTGTGTGTGTGATGGTGCTAGTGCTACTTTTATAGTCTAGTATAGTATAATTAAGATAATAGACTTATCTTCTATTTAGCATTGGATGAACAAAGTCGTTTAACGAAAGAATTAGAAGAAAAACGTGCACAAGCAGAAGAAGCACGTTCACGTTTAGCACAAGAACGTCATGAAGCAGAAGAAGAACAAAAACGAATGATGGATCGTATGCGTTATGAACAAGAAGAAAAAGAAAAAATTGTAAGTAATTTAACGTTAACTATTGCACTCTTCTGTCAGATCTTAACTTGTTTTAGAACAAACATGTGAGGCTTGATTTTGATTTGTTTCTGTTATTCCTCATTGCTCAGTGTGTTTTAAGAAAAAAATATTTGAGCTTCTATTTGATTATTTTTGAATTGCTAAAAGAATTCAAAATAAGGCTGTTTTTAAATTCAGACCATTTCTGTAATTATAAATTTATTTGCAACGATTCGGCTTGGTCAGCTAACTCTGCTATCGGAGTGAAATTCCGTAACAATTTTTTTGTAATTTTGTTTTTCTGATAATTTTCGAACGGTAATACATCCAATGACTTGGAATGCCTCAGATTAAAAAGAAAAGTGTCCTAAAGATTTTGAGATTTTCTCATAGTCTACACGTTCTTACATTCAAAAACTATGATGAAAATACAAACATCTACTTTTTTGGATAAGTTTTGACAAGTAGATGTTTGTATTTTCATCATAGTTTTTGAATGTAAGAACGTGTAGACTATGAGAAAATCTCAAAATCTTTAGGACACTTTTCTCTTTAATCTGAGACGTTCCAAGTCAGTGGATGTATCATCGTTCAAAAATTATCAGAAAAACAAAATTACAAAAAAATCGTTACGGAATTTCACTCCGATAACAGAGTTAGCTGGCCAAGTCGCATTGTTATTTTGCTATCCAGTTTTATATTGGATAATTTATAGTATCTTTGATAAATCTTTCAGCTCGCTTGGCGAATCAATAATCCATTATGTGCCTGGGTATTAAAAATAATTCACCTACAGTTTTACTGTATTGCGAGAAAAGAATACGCACGGCATGTCAAGTAGTGCCCATTTTTGCTATGGATTTTCTTCTCAATTTTTATTATGTCGTATACTATTCGTGCATGCAAACACCAGACAGTGACTATAGAAAATAGACAGAAAACACGTTGCTTTAGTGTTTCCCGGTTATAGAACAGAAATACGAAATCTCATCCAAAGATATTTGCATACTATTTCTATTTATTTTTATTATTAGATATCATTTTAATTTTTCTATTTTTATATTAGGTACAAGAAATTGAACAAGCTAGACGACATGCTGAACAAAAAGCTTATGAAGCCCAACAAAAAGAAATTGAAGCAAGACGTCTTGAAGAAGAATTATTAGAAGCAAGAAAAAAAGTAATTATAGTCTAATATCTTATCTCAATTATTGTTTGTGAACAGTTCGTCTTATTTGTTTTGTTTATCATTATTTTTTCAGAAATCGGTATTAGTTTCGAGTAGTTGTCTGTTTTCGGGGGAGAAGAGTTGGGAGGACTATATCATTTTCTTGCTCACTTTTTTCGGAGTTTTTTTTTCTTCTCTTTCTTCTCCATAGTGATTGTTACTTTGGTTAAAAAAAAAAAAAAGAAGAAAATTTATTCTCTAAAAGATCTATCTATGTTTTACTGTGCATAAATAGTATCGTTCGATGAAAACAAAACCACGTGCAATGGTATGATTACTTTTTTTTTCGGTCAATGGTTTAGTATTCGTCTTTTCTAACTGCTCGTTTTACTAGTTGGGCTTCGTTGGAATGTAAAAATGAGACAGATGACTACTACAGTTATTTTTATGCATGTTTAATTATTTTAGGTAATGGAAACAATGAATTCTGGTATGAGTAATGCTTATAATCATCCACTTGGCGAATTTAATAATGATGAAGATGAAAGTGATGATGAAGATAACAGTAGCAGTCGAAATGGAAGAGGTAATTATTCATTTTGATTGTCATCAATTTTTTGTATATATTTTTTTTTTTGTTTATCTTTTTCTTTTATAGGAGTTGAATTACAAACTAATGAACATGCGTCAAGACATGAAGAAGATCGAATTACAGCAGCAGAAAAAAATCAAAAAATGCAACAACAATTAATGGTATGTTTGAGTATTTGCTTCGTTTTTTTTGGATAAAATTGCTCCGGTGCTAAATGCTAGTTTGCTGATATTTTGTTTTGCCTTTTCACATGGGAATAGGTAATTCTTTTACGGGATGGTATTCTGTATGAGTAGTAGTTTTTTTTTATGTTTTGGTGAAAGCTTAGAGTAGTTTGAAGTTTGATATGAGTTAGGTATTCTCAAACGAAGAATTAATACCAGTGTAAACAGTTTTAATACAGTTTTAAATTCGATATATCGATGAAAGAGAAAATTCACACTGCTCTAGATGCTTTAGAGAATAAAGACATGCTCTATCACATACGTGTATTGAAATTTGCTGCTAAATTTGAGAAAAAAAACAGAATATTGATGAATTATCTATCGTAGTTGAAAATGTACATGACATTACTGATCGATACTTTTTTTTTTCTTCTCCCATACACATTCAAATATGAATATATATCTCGTTTTTACACACGCCACACCTCATATTCATTTTCAGGCATTAAAAAATGAATTAGGCAGTGTTCATAATCCACATAAAGCGACAGAAAACGATCGTTTACATCAGCAAAATGTGGCATCTGGCCGTGATAAATATAAAACATTAAAAATGATTCGACAAGGAAATACAAAAAAACGAATAGATGAATTTGAATCAATGTGAAATTATCCGAACAATGGAAAAATAAGAGATATACTTTTTAACATTCCATCATTCTACTCGCTCTCAAATACGCACAAAACAAAAATGATGGCTATATTGTTTCTCTCTTTTCTTCCTTTTTTTTTTTAATGTTCTTTCGTTGTTATTCTATTGTTTTTATTCCATTTACTTTTGAAGAGATCAAAATTTTCGTTTTTTTATTCGAAAACAAAAAAAAAAAAAATTTAAAATTGGCCGTGTCGATTCATTATCGTTAGTCGATTGAAAAGCTTTTTGTGTGTGTGTAATCGACTGTACGTGCTTTTGTTTTTCTTGTCTTTCTTTCAACATATAATGTCTTCCTTCAATTTGCAGAACTTTGTGAAAGTTCTTCGACTTAATTTTATTCTCTTATAAACCTCAGTGTGTTTGCTTTGAAAAACAACAACAAAAACCAGCAGTAGTAAAACGAACGTTTTTTTCTCTTCTTAACGCGTTTATACATTTGTTTGTTTGTGTTTTATTTAGTTTTTTTTTTCTTTCTCTATCTCGTTGGTTCTGAACTTTTGTTGGTTTTTTTTTTACTCTTCTACTACAAATAAACAGTTCACTGTCGATCGGGGAATTATTTCGTAGTTGTATACTGTTATCTACTATATTCACTGGACTAGAGAGAATACGGGAAATATAAAAGTGATCTATAATTTTGCTATGCTTGCTTTGTGCGTGTGTATGTGTGTGTGTGCTAAAGAGATTCGATACGATGAAATCAGAAAAAAAATAGGTATGATTTTTTTATCTGTTTGCTTGATGTTTGTTTGTGACAAATAGAAACATTGATGGAAGAAAAAAATTGGGACACATATTTTTAACTAACTACTGGTTTTAAATCTGTAAGAGACAATATTTACTTAGAATGTTCAAAATAATATCTGAAAATAAAATTCGTTGTTGTTTATTTCTTTCATCCATCAATGAAGTACTTTTTACTTTGTTTTAATGTGAAAAAATATAATTTATTTCATTGATTTTTATAGAATGACAGACGAGATTTAGATAGACAAAAGCGCAATGATAAACAGACGGCTGAAGATATTATTTATCGTGAAAATTTGCAATCAAAGGGTATTGATAAATATAAAACATTGAAAAAAATTCGCGACGGTAATTCTTTTGAGTACACTGACTGTACGATTTTCAAAAAGTAAAATTTATTTTGTTTTTGTTTTACAGGGACAGTGAAACGTCGTATCGATCAATTTGAAGCTATGTAAAATAAGAGAAAACTGTTTTTTGTCTAACAAAATGCATTTAAATTTATCCATCATTTATATACATGAAATTTTTTGTTGTAAATTTTTCGTTTCTACTCGAATTTAAAGAGAATGCCCATTTGTTGTATAGGATTCATACTGTTTTCTCTCATTTTATGCTTCTTTTGCGTTTTATTTACACCACATTGTTTTCTGACAAGTACATTTGTCGTAAATTCGATATTTTGTTTGTTTTTTCAAAATTTTTATAAGTCAAGTTTAATTATTATTTTTCTCTTTGCAGCAAGTCTTTATTTCAATAAAGCTTTTTACACCAAACACTTTGATAAATAACGTTTTTTTAAAAAAAATTTTCATCTGTGTTTAAAAAATAATCACAATGAATGAATTTATAAACTTTGTTGACATTTTTCACCATACTTTGAGAAGAATTAGTTTTTACAACACCTTTCGTAAGTCAGCCACGAAGTTGTTGCATATGTTAGAATAAATTCAAATTTCTGTACTAGAACATTCTTTTTATACAACTTTTTAAACTCTTTTGTTGTATATAACGGGGTTTTGCTTCGTGCTTATGATCGAAAGATTATTTTGTAGTGGTTTCCGTACATCAAATCATTTTAATGCTTTCTTTTCTAATTTTTAAAATATCCTTGTTCATATAGAAATGTATGTATATTTATCTCGTTTTTAATTGTCATTTGTTCTTCTGAGCTTTGTCAATAAGATTTTATATGTTTACTTGGTTACTATTTTTATAAGTGTCAAAAAAAAAAGTAATAAATAAAAAAATTGTCGTATCAAACGAAACGAACAATTTCATTTATTATACATTATCAACTGGTAAACTTTTATTCCAGTTTATATCTTTTCCTGTTATGACATTGCCACGGCTTAAATTCAAAGTATCTCTTGACTCATGCTTGACCTTGCTAAAAAATCATATTTAATTAGACTAAGTTTCTCATTATAACGTTTTTTGTTCCGTCTGTACATCAATAACAGAAATATTATTGTAATTATGCTGGATATTCAAGACTCAACATCCATTATGTAGATAAGTGTCTTATTGTCACCTCCTTTTAGTCGATTTTTCGAACTAATAATTATTTTTTCATTTTTTTTACTATCATTCAGAATAGGACCCTTTTAAATGAGATCTTATTGAAATTGCCTGTTGCTGATGCGAGAAGTATCCAAAGCTCACAATAAAATGTTTAGATTTGTTCATCAACTAATTTTACTATTTTCTCAAATGAATTGTTCTGTCAAATTTACGTCCCTGTCATTTGTACACACCACCCATCACTACTACCGATTGAATGTTTTAGTGAGATCTTCAGCTCGGCTTTACTCGGTCAGCTACGATACCGAGGTTTTTGTTGCTTTAAACAACACAACTTTGCTAATAATAACACAACAATTGTTCTATCTACAAAAACTTACAAATAAAACGTTAATCTCGAAGAAAATACTACTTGTCACAAAGACTGGTGCTAGATAACCTCGAACAATCTGAAAAACGAATGGAGATATAGGTCATTTCTCCCAAATCTGATGACAATGTTTGTTTTCGGAAAAAGTAAAAAATTAAACTAATGGATATAATTTTTGTGGAAAATAATCCTACTTATATCCTAATTACAGCAGCTTAGAGCGTATAAATATACAAAGTTCAGAACCAACGAGATAGAGAAAGAAAAAAAAAACTAAATAAAACACAAACAAACAAATGTATAAACGCGTTAAGAAGAGAAAAAAAC